ACCCTTCTGGTTGAGAAGCCCGATCAAGAATTTTCTTAGTTGATTCCACAATTTCATTTAGCACTGAACATGATGTACGGCCTCATCATGCGGGTGAATCCTCTGTGGTGTAAAGGTGAGCAGACAACATGCCAGTGTATACACTGTCAACATCCTTGTTTCAGCCTTATCAGGGCAGGTGTCTGACACAGCACCGTGCAGCTATGCAAATAAACAAAGTACAGCTCCACCAGGCTGATGCTCCACTCAACACTCCCCTCTGAGGAGGGGAGTGTTGAGTGGAGCAGGGAGGAATTTAAAGCAACCAAACCACAATAGAGGAGCAATCTGACCTCCCTCCTTTATTTCACCCTGTCAGTGAGGGATTCTGGGCCGAGGAGCACCTGATCTGAAACCCCTCCAGGTCTCGGACCCACCCATTTACCATCTGATAAGTGCTGCTCTTGCAAAGTGACAGATGATACTGACAGACTGTATTGTGGGAGAAGGCTACACCTCCTCCATCAGGCGCAGAAAATGAGTTATAAAACACTTTTATGGCTCTATCAGTTTGGAGAAGAATAGGAATCTATATGCCATCACTTTTCAAAAAGAGTAGAGTTCACTATAGTAACAGAAGAGGGGAAATGTGTGTGTGTGTATTCCCCAGACCCTGCTGTAAACCAACACCTTCCACCACTGAGCTGGGGGGACAAAGACGCAGATGCAGTTGCTCAAAAACGGTCCAAACCCAGCCCACACAACACATATGGAATGTCATTGGCAATTTATCTCCCAGTTTCCTGTTTTGCACACCCTCCCCACTGAACCCTGTGCCGTCCTCCCCCACCTCTGTACTGTACCAGGAGAGAGGAGAAACATGAAAATAACAATACCTCTCTCATCTATTTTCTCTCATTATTCCTGATGGTTCTTTTTTTCTAATTTAGAAAAATATCAACAGTTTAATTGAGCAGGTTAATCCGACATAATTACTAGAACAAGTTTCCTCCTAACTTTACTGCTGCTGCTGCTGCATTGTGGTTTTGTCGTTTAGCCAAATGGCTCCGCAGAGCCCCCTCAAAGCATCCTTTGAAACCGAGCTGCGGGCTGATGGGCTGGGCTGTGTGAGTGGGATGCTGTGTTGAACTCCTGATGTGAATACGTGATAACAGAAATGGACTTGACTATTGTGGAGCACTGAGTGTATGAAAATGCTCATAGAGTTACAGTAACTATGCCTTGTGTGTCCACCAGGACAAAAATGACCTTTTTTTCCCCCAAAGACGTCAAATGTATCTAAGGGCAAAATGCTCCTTTTGTGAAGCTTAAACTATAGATAAGGTTATTACAGTAATAGTAATTATAATGCAATGTATTTAAAATGAAAACTTAAAATGAGCAAACTACATTTTAGCCCCAGAATAGCTGAAAGTTAGCTACGAAAATAGCAAAAAAGGCTAAAGAGAAGCTAAAGAGGTTACTTGAAGTAAGCGTAAAGAAGAACTAATTAGGAAAACACCACTGAACCAATTATTAGAAATAAAAGTAAACACCAAGCTAGATAAAAATAAGGTGAAAATCTAACCAACACAGCTCAAAGTTAAATATGTTGAAAGTCAATGTCAGAAATTGCTTTAGCTTAACCAAACCAGAATACATAACACTTACTGTAGGGGCAACCCATAACAAACATGGAATAAATTATTCAGCTATCCTCATGAATGGCCATAAAAATCTTAAATATGTCTTAAATAAGGCCACATCCCCGGACTACACTCTGAGCACGCCTGCACCAGATTCCTAATACTCAGCCACTGGGGATGGAAACCCCTGTGGAAATCAGTTGATCAACGTATAGAGCTGTGTTGTGAACATGAAGAAGAACAAGGTCTGAAAATAACTAGCTGTCAGCTTCACGTGGTATTTCCATGAATACTAATCCTCACACACACACACAGACAGAAAGAGACACACAACGAGAGAGAGAGAGAAGGACATTGGTTAAATGTGAAACACAGCACGCTCTCACTCAGACATGGACGTCAGTTACCATGGCACTGGGAGTTGCTATGAAGCCAGTGCGTAGATGAAGACACTGTGGTCTGTTTAAAGTGCAGCCAGGAGTCTAACTGGGCTCAGATGACCTTTCACTGGGAGGGAACACCATCCAGTCCACTCTGTTCTGTCCATTAAACCAGTAGTGTACTACAGGGGGCAGACAAGCACATATAGACACAGACAAACATAAAAAACACCTATAACAACCTTTCAGTTTTGTTTTGGTTTCTGTCTGTACTTCTATGGCACATTGTGTTCAAGATGTAATCGCTCTTTTGTCATGTGATACCTCTAAATACTCAGTGCTTGTTTTTCCTATTGTCTTCCTACATGTGTACAGTATACACACTGTCTGTGTGCTTACGAATATGTGTGTGTAGTTCGCTAGCCCCCAGCCCAGCAAAGCTTTATCTCTCCCCCACAGTACCATGAATTACAGGTGTTTGGTGTGGCCCACATCTGGTACCAATGTCAAATATGGTCACATATGGCCTATTAAAGTAACAACATTGGGTTGATTTAACAATCCTAGGTCCATTTAGGTTCATATATTTGCTCACTGCATTATGACGGTTATGTATACATACAAGTGTGTACGTGTGTGTGTGTATTTGTGTGTGACAGGAAGGAAATGCAGCAGGGGTTTGGGACCCACACACGGTCTTTTAGTTCTTCAATTCTTCACTTCATGCTTCAGTCCAAGAATGTATAGCCTGAGGAGGAAGGCGTGGACGTGAACCCACTGCCTCTCTTCACCAGCACCTGTTTTTTAGCTTTAGCTTTCAGGCAGACGTACACTATGGACTGATGGGAGTTGGGAGTTTTCATTGTTCTGTGGAAACCAAACAGCTGTTACACTAGAATATTATTATTTATAACTAGTTTATTATCATGTTTTTTTATCATCATTGTTTTTGTGAGGAGATTCTTTCTTCATTCTGGAAAAAATGTGGCATGCCTAACATTTAAAATCCAAGTAAAATATTGGATGTAGAAGTTAACTAGAAAAAAGCGACCAATGGTATAGTAGACATGGGACCACAAGATTAAAAAAACAAACAAATGCTAAACAGATGCTAAATGTAACTAGAAAATACCATAAAAATATCCATAAAAATGGATCAAAACCCCAAGTGTGATTTATTTTCCCAGCAGCTGTCAGTTTCCAATCCATCAATTTCGCCTTCTGTCTAAGAGATTGTTGCATTAACAGTGAGTCAATGATTCACTCTGAGGAAGGATGAAGTTGGAACACTTGTTGTGCTCACTCTGTAATGTTTAATCTAAAAGGGGAGTTGAATCAGGCAGCATTCCTTCCTTTGGCTGACAGAGACACTTTTGTTAGTGTGAACAATTCTAGACACAGGAGTCGCAGGTGGAGAAAGAAATCTGAAAATGTTCACAGGGAGTTTGGCCTGGCTCCCAGCCCAGAGAACTGATAACCTTGGGCAAAAAGGCTTAGAGTCTGATTCAGGAGCAATAACCACATCAAAAGGTCTACATTTGCTGTCCACCCCGTGCTGCCGTGTCTGCTAGAAACTACAGATTTTTATGGGAGTGTCAGATAAAGTGGGCTGTGTAAGTCTACAGGGAATAATACCAGGCTGACCTTTAGTCAGCGCTCAGTCATAACAGAACCCTGACCGAGTCTTTCCTATAGACCACTATTGTTATTAGGACTGACGGCCTCCTGAGCCCAGAGAGGTCAGGAGGACGGTTCACCCGGGTCCAGAGTTTCCCCCTCCTCCCTGGGGACACGTTAACTCAGAATTTGATACTTAACCTTGTGACACCCCCCACAACACACAGCTCTTGTCTGAGCTGTTTACCAAAGGAGCAGTTGTCTGCTGAAAGACCAATAGCTTTAGATTTTTTAACAAGCTGCTATGTTAAATATCTGAGGAAAAAAACAAACAGAACCATAAACAATTATAGGAATGACCATATATACACAGTGGGGCCTCGAGATACGACCGAAAGTCGTGTTTTCCAAGTTACAGTAAGCAACTACTGCAATATTTTCCCCATGATACGAGGAAACATCGAGTTACGAGTGCCCAACTGAGCTCCACTCTGCCACTCGACACTGTCTCACCCACTGTCCCTCAGTACATCTGCGAACTGAGGGAGCAAAAGGAAAACTGCAATATAGAGAAGGAACACTGTGTATATATACATGTATATATATTTATATTTGAGCTGCTTTGGCCAACATCAAGCTATATGCTACTGTAATTACATTCTAGCTAATTTGAATTTGACTGTTTTTTTTAGCAAAATTAGGGAAAACCAATAGCTTTGTTTAGACATGTATTACTTACTACGATCAATCTCCTCCTGTGAGCTGTTCCTGCCACGACCCCTTCTTCTTCTTTGTTTTTTGGCAGATTGCAGACCTTTAGTAATATTTGTGCCAGCTTTCGGCTCAAGTACTTCCCACTGAAAGTTCCTGACCACTGTGAAAAGACAGAACATGCTGTTAAAACATTAATAGTCATATTGACTTAATTTTGTAGTTGCTTGTTCCTTTAAGCCTTTTTTCTGGTAACCCTTTATCACTGAGCTATTTTTCATTGATCTAATCAGCTGAAACACTGATTTGATTGTATGGCATTTAAAAATCATCATAGTTTAAATTTGTAATACTTCAAATCGGAGGAGGATAAAGGAACATTGTCGCATATAAAATGAAATCTATTTTGCCACATCTTCAAACTGGATTATTACATTGTGTCTACATTGACCTAATGCAATTGTTCACAACTTTACAATTCTTCACTGTGGATAAAAGGTGAAACAATAGAGCAATAAATCTGATGCACGGGGCTGTGACCAGGTCTAATGTAATCTTCTGGACAGACTGTTGAATAATGACACAATTTGGAGAGTGGCTGCAGCAGGTCTGAGCAGCAAACACATGATGGCCGCCTGCTCACTCCCACACACACTGCTCATCCTCCCTGCTGTGGCCATGGCTGTGATTAACAATGTTCTTTACAAAGACGCCTTAAAAAGATGGATGACACAGCATATAGATGGTATATGGTAAAGCGGCCACTGGGAGCTTCATTGGGTATCTCTTAGACCTCCTGCTAAACACTGTGGGGGGGGTTTCTTGTCTTCTTCAGGTCTTAAAACAAAACTTCTTCTTCTACTGCTTTGTAAATAACTTTGCTTAACTTCATTTATCTTCACATAGAAAGACTTGTATACTGTCTGACACTTAATAAATTGTGTTTTACTAAAAGTTTTATGTCTTTTTGTATGTTTTGTTAGGACCAAATCAATTTCCCCTTTCAAATAATCAAACAAAGTCATTGTGGGGAGTCATTTTTTAAACTCTAGTTTTTGTGAAATCTGTGTGGTGCTTAGGTGTGCATGCCCCACTGTTGTTCATGCCATGTGTGTGTTCAGCCTCCTCTTGGGCCAGTGAATGAATCCCCTCCATCCCTCTCCACTCTGTGTGTGTGTGTGTGTGTGTGTGTGAATGCAGAAGCAGGGGCTTTGTTTCCACTGGGAGGGAAGGGGAAGGTCTACGTTTGAGACCTGCACATTTTCCACTCAATTGAAAGGCCCTCTCAGATCATTAAATGTCCATTCATTAGGGAGGGACACTGGTGGGGAATCAGCAGCAAAGCAAACACACAGAGGCCTATATGGGGCCACTGTCCCTAACACTGTGGCCTACAACCGTCTGGGTGGTAGTGGCTCTCAAGTGCAGCAACTGAGATGAGGGTCGTTAGAGGGAGTGTCTTTTCATAGCAGCATAACTACTGTAAAGTGGCACAATGGATCCTTGTCTTGTTTATAAGAAGACTTTCCGGACATCATTTTGCTTTGGGGCCTGTGTGGTCATTATTTGACGTCCCACTCAAACTATCTGAATTAGCCACAATACAAAATAAGTATATTTAGCCCAAATCAAAGCTAGACCACACAGTGGAAAACTTGTTAGTGCTTTTGCCTCACAGCAAGGTGACATTCTCCAGGTGCTGCCATTTCCCAAAGAATTATTCACCTATACATTATCGCAGTGTGTGTGGGCCGACTTTCTAAAAAAAAGTTGGGGACCATTTTCTGGCCCAATGTTGGTCTAGATAAACCTGTCTCAGTCAGCAGGTATCTTTTGTAGCGTCCTAAGCCAACTTTATCTATGAATCTCTTAAGCTTGTTTTAACTTGATATTGTAAATAGTACATTGCTGTTATTACACTAATTCTTCATAGTATTTGGTTCCATGTTGTCTCCAGTGTCTGAAGAAATAACCTCTGTTTAACCCCTGATGGGAATCACTGCTCTGGGCTGAGGAGTTTTTGCCATTTCTCCCTTGCTTCCTGAACTAGACTTCATTTCGTCTTCCCTGAGGACACTGCAACTGGTACATAAGCATTTCACGTCAGACAGCAATGAAGGGAGGGAGTTGGAGGAGGCCTCTGATCTCCCGGGGCCATGTGTTTATGTAGAAACCTACTCATGGTCAGGTGGATTAGAGCATCTGTGGGTCTGCCCTGTGCTGTTTCAGCCTGAATTAAGCACCTGAATGACTCACTTCTCACTGACTAACCATAACCCACATAATATTAAATGTGGAGAAGTCGTCATGGAGCCTTTGTGTAAGCTCAAGGGGGTGGAGGTAAAGGTGGAGTTGGCTAAATGTGGGTAGAACTGGGAACTCCCAATATCTGCTGTGCTCAAGCATGTCTGGGAAAAATGACAGCGTTAACAAAACCAACAAGACTAGCACTAACACATGAGTGCAGATGAAGAGCCTTTTGTAAGTACGGTGAGGCTTTGAGATACGAGTTTAATCCGTTCCACAACAGCACTCGTATCTCGACTGCATTTTCCTTATTAAAAATAACAAAAAAACAATTTGTTCCAGCCTCCCAGAAATATACTATTAATTAGTTAATTAATTAAATTAACCCCCTTATCTAAACATCCAAAACATAGATAAAAACAAATATATTGATAATATAAAATAATAATAATTAAGAGCAGTCAAAACACCTTTAACTAAAATCTTGAGTGAAATTTTTCACTCATATTATTTGAAGAATTTACAACAGACTTATTTTAACAACTCACCCAATCATAAGGCCAATCAGATTCTCCTACGTACCACTAGAGAGCACCACCACGGGTGCCACCAGTGGTACACAAACAATACTCTGAGAACCACTGCACTGATTCCCAACCACTGTGCTGTGGGTATGCGTGGTAAAATATCCAATCTCATTTTATTGGTCCCAAAACTAGTATTTATCTATTGCAAATATTTTTTCATTGTTTGTCAATGCGTGAAAGGCAGACCAATTAAATCCTCTTGCGCTAGGTGGCAGCAGATGGCTATTAAAACAAACAAACAAAAAATCAGAGATGTTGAAAATATTTGTGTGTCTTTCTTCAATTCCTGGCAGTAAATCAGTGTTATCTTTATCTAAACTGACTGAGATTTTAGCCAATTATGAGGTCACTTAAACTAGAATATTATTATATTTAATTACATGTTCTTTTTGTGAGATTGTTGTTTTGTGGTGTGCCATGGGGTTTTCCTGATGATATACTGTATATGTGGTGTGGCTCAAAAAAGGTTGGGAAACACTGGTCTATGGTATTAAAAAAAAGCCTTATTAATGAAAAGCACAATTTCCTTAGTCTTGACATGACTATGTCTGTCTTTAGTCAGAGTAAGAAAAAAACTATTGCCCAAAGCCTCCGGAAACATTTGATGGTGTTTTGATTAACCAGTGTAATCCTGTCCACAGATAGTCAGAGAGAGTGTAATTTGGTCGTCCATAAACTTTTGGTCTGAGCCTAAATAAACATGCTTGGATTAAGGTGGGGCTTCCTGTAAAAATCCTTGGGGGGGGGGGGGGTCTTCAACCAGAAGACTCAATCAAAGTGTATCTATACAAGGTGACGTTTGCTTCACCTCTCAGTAATAAGCTTGAAATAGAAACATTAACGGTTAGTTTCAATTGATTCCCGTAAAACCCAGATATATGTGAGGAAATAATCAGCCCAAAAACACAAGTAGATTTTGTTGGGGGGAGGGGGGCGGGACATTTCCTCAGCCTGTGGCCATCTAAAAGAGTGGTCTGGTTGATCGAGAAAGTTCAAGTGGATGACAAACACAGAGGTTACAATCAAAGAGGGCTCCTTCCATCTTTTCATCAGTCCCTGAACAGCTGTTTGTGCTGGACACTCTTACTTATTCACACAGTGGAGTGGAGCCAGAGAATAGATGCTTTCTTCTCAGGCTGGAGATGTTGGAGGAGATGACAAGAGTGAAGGGACACTTGCAGGAAGAGCTACTGCACAGCATGTGGTTCAAGTACCAAAGAGCTGGAAAAGATAGAGATACAGAACACTAAGAAAAAAATCTCACATCCCTTGATTGAAAAAAAAAATCTTACAGTAACCAACAGTGACACAGCACAGGAAGTCAATGTTTAAATGCATTAGATGTTAATGAGGCCAGACCTGGCGCCAGATTAAGGCATTTCACCTTCACTGGGGGTCTAATTATGATCTCAGCTTATCAAGTAGATATTTAAGAGTCTGGTTTATGTCGACAATCCAATGTAGCCTCTGTTGGTTACCACTAATGCACCAAATGCTGTAAAAAAACAACAAGTTATTAAACAAAGCTTTCAACTTTGAATTTACTTAGAATGTTAAATATATATATAAAAATATAAATATATATACTGTACATATATGTATTTTATTATTTTACTGAAATTCTCTAACAAAACGGAGAAATGAATGATTATGGATTGTTTTCCACATCTCTCAAGTTTAAAAGGGCTAGAGAACATTCTGACCTGTACCAAGTGTTGGAATAGTGTGCTATATTTAACCCCCACACACAAACAAAGTCATAGGGGTCCTCATTAGTGCAGCAGTGCGCACACCTACTCTGCAGATGTGTAGATGTTTAGACTTTAAACTCCATTCATGGCCTTCTCACACCCACGCAACCACCAATGTGATTTTTTAAATCCCTTTGAAATGTTCGGAGCTCCTGTGGATAATCAGGCTCCACCTGCTGGCTGGAGCTCATCTGATTAAATCACGGATTGCAGGGGAGTCACATGATCTTATGAGTGGGAGAGGGAGGAGTCTTTTAAACCGCTGACTCTCTCCTTCTATGGCTCTTTCTCCCTCTTTGTCCTCATTAGAGATAAAAAGAGGTAAAAGGCAATGAGTCAAAGACTTTGAAGCATGGCTGTAATGAAGGTCTGTTTGCAGCCAAGAAACGTCACCTGATGTTTTTGACTCTGCGCTACTCTTTTATCAAGGTTCAAATCTGCTCATATTAACAAGAATAATAGCACAGATCACAGAACTGCTTCTCAGTGGAAAATAAGTACATTTAAGTTTTCTTTACTCTTGCCAAATATCCAGTGTTCTCATTTGTCTAAAAATAAAAATACTGATTCCCATTTGTTTTTTTAAACAAATGTTCCTGTGGGCCTCCCAGTGGTGCTGTGATTTGTCTCTGCTACATTAAACCAAGGCCAGAAAACAAGACAACGCAAAAAACAACTGTCAAGATATCAAGATGTGTAAAATCCATAGAACTGATATTGTATTGTGGATTAAATTGTAAAAAAAAAAAAAAAAAAACCTTGAAAAGAAAACAATTTATCACATAACAGGAACTGGCTAGACATAATGCAAAAATAAATAGCTGGAGATTTACCCTAAAAAACTAAAACACAGCCCAAATATCTAAATTTACCAGGCAAAAGGCAAAACATAATTAAAAATCAGCCCTGAAACAGGAGTTAAAATGAAAAAAGAATAAAAATTGACCTGGAAAAACAGTGCATGATCCCTGCACAGTGAGTGGTACAGAGGGAAGAACCCACGCAGGCAGGACCTGGTTGACATCCTCCCTGAGGTCCTTCAGCTGTCAGAGGAGACCAGAAGCTAATGGAAAACACAGATGGACAGATGTTGAAGGTCAAGACCTTTTCCTTAGACGCACATGTAGCCAAACGCACATTAACAAGTCCAAAACACCTTCTAAAGCTGGACTAACTGCCCCCACACACACACACACACACAGTGTCTTCCACCCACACACAGAGACCTAGATCAGTTATTGATGATCTGCTGCCTTTAATAAGCTTCTAATGACACTGGTGTCTCTGTGGACATGTTCAGCACTTAACACACTTCCTTGACTGGAAGACACTGGACACACACAATGATGCCATTAAAACCTTATTAAGGTTTAAATGACTTAGCAAATGAAATGAAGAGGTTTCCACTGAATTTTCATGACTTCATTATGGTTATAGTGATGTAGTGTAGTACCCTACGAGACCTGATTAACTGTTCACAGCAAAGCCACTAGGGGTCTGTTCTAGTCTGGATCAAGTCTGGGAATATGCTCACCTAATGCAAGGTGCACTCAGGGTGACTGATGGGTTCAAGGTCTGGATAAATTTTGTTCTTAGAGATGACAGACAGGTCTGAAGTATGACAGCAATCACGTAAAATATGTTAAATATTTGGAACACAGCAATTTTAAAACTAGGGGAATCATAGTGACTTTTGTATCTGTGTTGTCTAAGGTGAATGGAGCACCGATGAGATGTTGAGACAACAAGTGAAAATCTGAGCTGCGGGCAAACGGACAAAAACAACATTGTACATCTGGTCCTTGAGGAGAAAGTTTTTGAAAACTGCAGTCACTGTCAGTCTCTCAAGGTCCTGGGAAATTCAGTCAACTGGAATGTCTCCCAATTGTCCAGCATTCTTCATGTCTAAAGGGACATTGGCATCAGTTTTGCTCTTTTAGACCCAAATGCACTTCATTAATCTAGCTGATGGCTCTTGTGATGTTTTAAGTTTAACAGGAAACAAATAACTTTTTTCTCAAATTGAATTTGTAAAGCTCAACACAAAGGTTTTTGTTTTCTTTTTCTTCTAACACAGACAGTGATCAGACCAGTAATTGCAGGGTTTTTCTCTGTAATGTCTGAGCTCCTGTTGGAACACAGCCAGCTGCTCTACTTTTACTCACGGTATGAGGGAGAAAAAAAGTACAAAACATGTCCTCAAACGCCGTCTCCTGTTACTTTGTAGTGAGAACTTCATTGGACGACGACCAGAAAGTGCGCAGTTTCTCCATCTGTGAAGACAGATTTTTCATTATTAAACAAGAAAGATTGTCATAAAACATGAAACATTTAATATGTACGGCACATACGCACCTTTAGTTTTTATTTTATTTTTGTGTGATATGGTTTTTCAGGCTGCGATCACATTTATTTTTGGGGCGTGCGCCCCATCTACTGGTGATTTTGAAATACTACTATAAGAGTTTGGAATGAGTAATGTGTACTGTACTATTACTGTTCTGAATTTGTAAAATATTACGTATTAAGGCATACAGATCCCACCTATGAAGTATAAAGTATTACAGGAGTTAGTTAACAGTTGACAATAACAGTTGACAATAAATATAGCGAAAAGGACAAAAACTAACAATTTGTCAATAAAATATGGAAAAGTTGATTAAAGGTCTGTGGAGAAAACCAAGCGAAAGAAATGGAAGCTAAAGGATTCAGCCAAACCACGGTAAGCAAGGTTCCAAAACCAAATTTAAAATGAATAATACTCAACTACGAATATTTATAACAATAACGACAATAATGAAAAGACAAACAGTTGCTTTTATAACAGAAGAAAACTGAAATAAAATTAAAAGGCTAAACTAACTAAAATAGCTTTTACAAAGCAGAAAATACCTAACATGTAGCCAAAACCTACCCAAGCGTAGCGAAGCAAAGGAAGAGGGTGGAGTTCTAGATATTGTATTAAATTATCTTAAAGACAAATACATGTAAATCTAGAGTTGCTACATGTTTTGCGGAGATACAATACATATTGTAATTAAGGAGTTAATTACGTACACCTGTGGCGTTTACAACGGCTGTCCGTTCTAAGACCGACCTACAGTTGCAACTCTGTGTTTTGGCGCCCTCAAGTGCTCGTAAAGAGAAGTCAACGTAAACACGACGTCATATGACACAACGTCTTTTGAAACACAAAGCTTTGGTTTCATTACTATACATTATACATGATAACCGCTTGTTTAACGTAAACTTATTATTGTTTGAGACGAACAACAGTAAAAATGTTAAGACACACGTGGGTAAGAAAACACAGACTAAAACTGACTTTCACTTGTGTATTTACGGTAATTTAAGTTTTGCTTTAGTAGTTTTCTTCGTGGACCTATAGTGGTTTTGTTTTGTCCTGTGAGGTTCCTCCTTCCATCACAGGGCCACATCCAGAGTCACTCAGTCTTCACTCTCCACAACATGGAGTGAACCATTAATCTATGTGGTGGTTTTTTTGGGGGGGGGGGGGGGGGGGGGGGGCAGAGTACCAAGGGGACACGGGGAGAACATACAACCTCCACACAGAAAGGGCAGCAGTTACTACTGAGGATCAAACCGCCGATCTTCTTAACCACTGCACTACCGAGTGTCCAGCGTCAACAATTCTTTTTTTCTCAAATTAAATTATTTTATACATTTTTGTCATCTTGTTTTTTATACATCACGTCCTTAATCTGAAGGATTAACATCAAAGGTCCATAAAATGTCAGATTTCAATATTTGTAACCGTATTTATTGCTTTAGGTTTAGTTAAAGAAAAAAACATTTTTGCATAACTGTATGTAAGGTACTCAAACTCAAAATGTCGGGTACATGTTGAAGTAAATACAACAGAGGGCGCTGTGCACCATGTTTTCAGTTGACAGCGAAGGTCGCAGGTAAAAGAAACAACAGAATAAGAATAAATTAATGAAGGAATGAGAAATAAATACATATAGTCACACGGTTGTTTTAAATGTATTCAAAACGATTAAAATGTAAATTTATTAACTGACTGTAAATTCAACTCTAACTCCAATACTGATATTTGCATCTACAAACGAACACAAACTCTCTTATATACACAAACTAACTGACACACACACACACACACAGGTAGGGTAGAAGAGTGGAAGAATTGGCCCTCCGGCCATATCAGATGAGGGAGTCTTTTGCCTATCTCCTCCATCTCTTTCAGTCTAAACTTCACTGTCCGCCACCACCTTTGAATGACAATGGCGGCGTGGGAGGCTGACGGCAGCCTCTCAAAGCTCTGAATGAAGTCTGATCTGTGCGCACTGTTAAGAAAACACTGCACACGACAGTAGAGGAGACACTGTGGCTGCAGGAGTGGGATTTAAACCGGCAACGCTCTGAGGCCAACATGTGGGAGCTGCTTGGTGTAGATGATGGAGCTCAATGGTTGGTGCTGCTTTTTGTTGTTGTTGTTGTTGTTGTTGTTGTCCAAACAACAGTCTAAACAGTGAGCAGACACAGCGTATGCAAATCAAGTGGAAAAGTGGCAAAACACACCAGTACACTGGCTGAGGTATGTGCTGCAGGGCACTATGGGCAGGGAGGTTGGGTTTCATCAGAACCTCGCCTGAAGCGCAGCTCAGAAAGGAGGAGGAGGGAGAGAGAGGAGGAGGCAGGCGAGGAGGAAGGGGGGGGGGGGGGTGAGCCAATGAGAAGACAGCATCCAGCCCAACTCTCTATAACTCAGTGTGACTGAGGGTGAGATGCCACAACTGAGTCTCAGCAGCGTGGAGTGTAACTGTGGACTATAGCCTCTCACTTCCCGTGCGTCTTTGAGCGCGCGCACGCACATACGCACACACACGTTCCCGATCTAGACAGCTCTCAGCATCCGAACTCCCTCATCAAGACACGTCAAACCACTGGGACGTTTTTGTACGAACTTTGGACGGAAACGGCGCCTTGTCGACCATGAGCGCCGCACAGACGTACGACAAGAAGATCTCGAGTATTTTGACCGACCTGCCAGGATCTATGAGCTGCCACCCGAGCTCCAAGGACTCCCCGACTCTGCCCGAGTCCTCGGTGACGGACATGGGCTACTACAGTGGACAGACGGCGCACAACCATCACGAATATTACCAGAGTCAGGCGTACGGACAGCCCATGAACTCTTACCACCATCAGTTCAACCTGAACGGCATGGGAGCCGCAGGGGCGTACGCCACTAAATCTGAATACCCTTACACGAACAGCTACAGACAGTACGGACATTACAACAGAGATCACCTGCAGGCCTCACCTCCAAGCTCAGGTAAGTCCTGTCATCATGTCACCGACTTCACCCCAGCTTTATCCTCATTATTTATGCAGTAATCTCCACTAAGAGGCGCCAAACACGCTGTGGTATTTATTTCCTAAAACAACATCCGATGAATCTGGCATCATCACCATCATCATGTCACACTCACTGAGAACAAAACGATCGACATCTCACAAAATGTGAATCTATAAATGAGTTTGAGTTGCACATTAATGCTGACAAAAGTTAAAATTAATTAATTAATCAAACCAGCAGAACTGTTGTTCAGTGTCTTTAACAGCTGGCAATGAAACATCAACAGTTGGAAAAAAGCTAATAATATTCACACTACTGTATTTTTTAAATTTCCCATCGAAGTAAATTAGTTGAAAAAAATCTGGATGGATATCCATAGTTTCACCATCTTATGGCAGCGGCGGTTTAGTTTTATTTTGTGTTACATTTCAAAACGCGGACATTTGTGTTGAGTCAGTTTACTTCATATTTTTGATCATTTAAAAAAATATATATTATTATTTGTCCGTACAGTGAAAGAAGAGCCAGAGCCGGAGGTACGCATGGTGAACGGAAAGCCCAAAAAAATCCGAAAGCCCCGGACCATCTACTCCAGCTACCAGCTGGCTGCTCTGCAGAGACGCTTCCAGAAGGCGCAGTATCTGGCTCTGCCCGAACGAGCCGAGCTGGCGGCTCAGCTGGGTCTCACTCAGACACAGGTGAGACTGCGTGTGTGTGTGTGTGTGTGTGTGGATCGTGCGCAGATACGCACTTCATTCTGGGTAGGGCAAAAACTCACATCTCCGTTAAATACTTACATTAAACAAATCTGTTTTTTCCTGCGTCTACAGGTGAAAATCTGGTTCCAGAACAGGAGATCCAAGTTCAAGAAGATGTACAAGAACGGCGAGGTTCCTCTGGAGCACAGTCCCAACGCCAGCGACTCCATGGCCTGTAACTCCCCTCCTTCCCCGACGGCCTGGGAGAACAGTACGGCTCAGAACACCCCCATCAGCAGACCTCAGGTCCAGCAGCCGACACAAAGCTCGTCGCCGCCGTACCTGGAGGACTATAGCAACCACTGGTACCAGCAGGGACCGCACCTACAGCACCCGGGCCCCATGCACCACCCAGTCCCGCAGCAAAGCGTGGGAGCTGTTTATTAACACTGACTTCCAAAAAGAAAGAAAAAAGAAAGTTCCCACTTTTTTTTTTACCCACCACCGTTCTCCATAACGAGGTATTCCCACAGAGACTCCGCAGAGCAAAGCTGGGACCTGACCCGGGATCAGCTGACTGGTTTTTGGATGACCGTGTTTTCAGAACTGGGTTTTCCACCTCAGAGCAGCAGAGGGGTGTTCTGCCCCCACGTGGCAGCGTATTTAAAGGATATCTGGCGTGTTTTTTCCTCTCCTTTTTTGTTAAATTATTTATCCCTCCTTTTGTAATTTCTTTTTTTTAATCTCATTTCATTTTGTTTTGTAAATGAGCAGACCTATACAAAGCCCCTCGACCCCTCACTTCAGGACTGTGCAGCTGACCCGTCTTACCGTGCGGGCGAGTTTGTACTGTAGACCCAGCGCCTTAAGAGAAAAAAGAGAAAAATCTCAGGTCATATTTATAATGGATTTGTACAAAATTAAAAACGTGGAAGGTTGTAAATATGTGTTTATATGCAGAACCACTATGATCCTATTTGTCGGACGGAACCAGCGCAGTGTGGCGCCTCCAGAACCATTTTATATCAATGTAATTAGTTCACTTGTTGCCTTACTTTTTTTGTCCATTGAATAAAGGTGTTAATTGCATGTTCTGTGTCCAGAGCTTTTATACTGGGAAGAAAAAGCAGAGAAGAGACTTCCCGTTGGTTCAGATTCCTGCCTTTGACAAACAGCAGAGGAAATTAAATATAATTAAGTTTCTGCGTCGACTCGGTCTGGATGAGTCTGTTAGAGACAGAGACAGAGACAGAGACAGAGACAGAATAAACGACACAAACCAGTTTGACTTTTGATTTGTTGATGTTTACGCTGCTGCTCTTCACATGTAATGTCTGCGAGAGTGGAAAACCAAACTCCATTCAAAGGTTAGAGCCAATTAAAAACATCTCAATCATTTAATTATTGCACCCTTTATTTTGTCATGTTCGTGTTTACAGCCTGTACAAAATACCAGACGGGCCCTAAATACAACGAGTTTGTTTTGTCTGCATTTTTCACCCGTGTGTTTATAAAGGAAGTTAGTAACACTGTGTGGCCCAGACAGATTTAGAGGAGAGAATTAAATGATATGTTATTTACTATTCAAAAATTTAGATTTTTGAAAGTTTGAGAAAAAGGTGATTTTTTTTCCTATAAAGAAATAAAATCCTCATCTCGGGACTAAATGTTAGAAATTTGAAGGTATCTTTGGAATTGTGAAAATATTTCAAGAATTGTAACTTGAGTAGATTTTTTTATTTACTAACGTGATTTTTAAAAATCCAACTTTTAAAAGCAAATTCTAGAAGAAACCCGTTTTTAATAACTAAAAATACAGTTATGTCGATTTCCTCTTTTTTAAATTAAAAATTCTGAAAGTAATCGGAACTCTTTTTTATGTAAATGCAGTGTTTTTGGGAACACAAATAAACTGTGTGGGGGGATTCTGATTTAACAGGTAAAATTGAACTGTAATTCAAAAGTTGAATTCCAAATGGTAATTTCTGCTTTGTCCTAACGGTTGGCTACATTAAATTACTCCGAGAATTGAGGAAAAATAAAAACGGAAAAAAGTCAATTTTTTATGTGTTCTGTCTAACCTCATAAATGTGATTTTGTTATATTTATCAACATATTTCAAAGAAACAGAATATTAAACAACTGAAGTAAAACCTGACACACTGTTCTCAGAATCCTCGAATTTGAAGCATCGTGAGATTAAATCTTCCTCCTCTTCTCAGGACTCCTCAGTAAGCACACACACACACACACACACACACACACAGATCTGCGTGCAAAGCTCTGCGGTAGGAGGCGACACACATGCAGACATGTTGGAGTCACTGGTTTTATTACTGTTGTGCTGCCAGAAAACAACAGAGAGCTGAGCACAAAGAGAGAGAGAGGGAGAGAGAGGTAAACATACACAGGGTGGAGGTGAAGGTAGAGTAGGGTGGGGATGCACAAGTTTGTGAAGCAGTCGCCGTGGGCAATGTCGCGCATGCGCACACGCAGCTTACAGGAAGCGCTGCCAACTATTCCAGGTATTATAAAACACCGGTGTGTTGAGCGGAAAATCTCACATCGTGTCACTTTTTAACCGTTTCAACTGTTCACTCGCTGTCATCAAATGTTTACTGGGAGTTCAATAACGTTTCACTTTAGCTGCTTTTGTTGAATGATTTCTTTTTGACTGCTGGCAATTTCTTTTAGCTAATTGTTAGCAACAATGGCTAACATTTAACCTTATCTGCTGCTACCATTTGTTATGTGTTGGAGCTTAATGTATGCCAAACTTTTAGTTATTTCTGGCCAATCCTTAAGCTGACTTCTTGAATGGTATCATTATAATTTATTTATCATTTGTCAGATCTCATCAAATGTAACTTTACTTATATTTTGTCATTTGATTTTTTTTTATTTGTTATTGTTATGGCACGGTTTGCACTGTGCTGTGTAAATTAGATTTTTTTAGCCTTAACTGTTCTCATCCTCAGTCTAACTTCTTATTTTTGTTATTCATCAACTACATCTTTCTGCTACTGTGGTTGTGTCATTGCTTGATAAGCGTATCTGAGCTAACACTAAACTATCTTTTGGCTCATTTCCAGGTTTTTGTATAAGAAAAGCCCAAAAGGTTTTTGCAGAAATCTGTCCAAAACTTTTAATGAGCTCACCCATTAAACAAAAGCATGTGTTAGGAAGACAATAAATTAGATGAAATGCAGTGCATGAGAATTAAACTCTGGTTCTGGTGTATTTTACATGATTATTTTCACATTATTCCATTTATGTGGCTACTCTGACTCCATTTATATGGGATTAGTTAGAAAAACAGGAAAAAGCTCTGGAATTAAAGGTAAGATGCAACAGTTTGTTGCTGTTAAACAACTACAACCAAAAATGTCCTGTTGTTCCAGGGCTGTAGCATCCAGTGAAGAACGACGAGGGTGACAGTGACAGCGACAGTGACAGTGACGCAGCCTTTCCTCACACTGTGTCCTATATATACGAGCACATAGGAGCCAACACCAACCTCAGTTTGGTCTCACAAACCACACGTTATTAAATATGCTACCATCCTGCAGGATGGAGAAAACCGCTAATGGCCATTTTATCCACATGGACCACCAAGGCACTATTACACACTGGGAGAAAATGCACTGCACGGCATTAGTGGCTTTATAAACTTCACCGCCTGCAGTAACTGGAATGGTATGTGTGTGAACCAGGACCGGATGTGTAAGAAAAACCAAACTTTCCTTTTTTTTTTTCAATGGAAAAAAAAACAAACAAAAATACAAAGAGAATAAATCTAACAAAATCTTTAGTTTTTATTTTTTAAACCTATGTTTGGACAGGTTTATTATCCCAGTGATTAATAGATCTATTATCACTGCTATTATTGTTGTTGTTATTACTACTACTACTATTGTTATTAGTGGTTATTATTATCGTTGTTATTTGTGTTATTATTACTGTTGTTGTTTATGGTTAGTACAACTGAACAACATATCAAACCATCACCTGAGTCCAAGTCAACAACACAGGGTTTCACGTCAGAGCGTAGGTCATGAAAGTTTCCACTGATTCCTTCCAACACCCATGTCAAAATCAAGGTTCCCCGGCCCGATCTTGCCCACCAGCTCATTTGGAGTGGGCCGCAAAACAATGAATACTGTGGTTTTGAGGTCAAGTGTATAATGTTCACATTCAAAACTATTTGTAAATAAATAAATATATGTATATAGGTTTATATTTTTTAAAATTCCCAAACCCCCAGTAATGGAGTTTCACATCTGGTTCAGTGAGGACGCAGCGTTTTGTCACACAGACTGAAACATGTCAGGGCTCCACACAGCTCTTTCCTGGACTGGGCAGCAGTTGTCTACAGCATCACTCACCAGCTCGGTGCACTGTGCTGCTACGACTAAAGCAGCCTGATTACTATTGCAGTCTAATATCAATGAAATCTCATCAAGGGCCCGTGTGACAGCCCCCGGTGGCTCCCTCAGCGTGTGTGGCCCCTCTGTGGCTGTCCAGAGGAACATCTGAGCCGAAGACATACGTGTGGCTGCGCTTGTGTGTGTGTGTGTGTGTGTGGGAGGGTAGGGATGGGGGGGTTGTTCCCACATGTCATCTCCAGGACATTAACGAGTTTAAGTAGCCATGGAGGTGAACTGCTGAACTTGAATGTGATCTCTTTGTGGCAGAGCATCACAGCTTCTAAATAGAGCCGCTGATCGAAGCCTGATCTCACTCGACCCCCCGGACCCTGCTAAAGTCAACAGTGTGATGTCAGCTCCTCATCTCTGGGGTGCAGCCACACGGGGTGGAGGTGGAGGTCAGGAACTGAAATGCATCCACGGAAAGACTTCGGCAGCTGTCCCACACTTAGCCCGAGCCTGGGCCTGGTCATCGGCCACATTAGCATCACTCACTTGGACCATTTTGGGCATAAATGGGGGTGGATTGGGGGTAAAGGCATCTCTGACAGGTGTGGACACATGAACCCTGGCTGACCTCAGAGAGGGACTGGACTGGACTGGACCAGGCCTGACCACAACTACTGTCAACAAATCCTGACAAAGCCTCTGGTGATGCTGTTGCTACGTGAGCTCACGTTCAGCCATGGCAACTGAGAACCTTCAGACTGTGACACGGGTTTTAAGGTAAATATGCAGAAAATATCCTTAAACCATCCAATCATAGAAAGGTCAAGGTTCAATCATTCCTAATGGGTCACCAGGAGTGTATGGCGACGTTTTCTCCTGTCTTCTGCCTTCTGACACAGAGCCAATAGGTGGCAGTAATTCAACCTTAAAAAATACAACAAAATGTAAGAGCCAGAAGAAGAATTACTGAAGTGTGGGGAGGGTCAGGATCAGTCAGGGAAATGTAAGTCCTTGTACTCCCTGAATTGTACTCAGTCTATTAATCCATACAGATTAGGTGTGTGTGTGTGTGTGTGTGTGTGTGTGTGTTCCTGGTATGGTGATACAAATTTAGGAAGCAATACTATCACCGTGGGGACACACAGTCCCCACTGAGTGAGAGTGTATTTAGATTGGAGTTAGGATTGGAATTAGGGCCAGATTACAGTTGGGGTAAAGATTAAGACCTGACTTAGCACTCTATGTAGGTCTATGTAAAGTTAACACAAAATGTGTATGTGTGAGTGTGTGTGAAAGAGAGAGACTCGTGCTCCAAACTAAGGCCTTCAAAAGAATGTCTCTCTCTCTCTCACACACACACACACACACACACACACACACATACTCTCACTAACAGGGATGTTGCTCACAATTATCGGAGACGTCAGATCACTCAGCCTAATAACAATAATCTCTCTGGAGACCTACTCCATGCCATTCACCCACTGAAAGAAACACGGGATTTAATAACAAGTCAATCTCTCTGCCTATATTGCTGTCCTGCAATTAAACCCATCAGACGCCTCACATCTAAGAACCCCACTGACCTGCCGCTGCATCCATACGGTCACAGTCGCCTTTAATGTCACCCTTCACCCCACACCACGTCACTGCTCCTCACAGTCTGTTAACAACAGAAACCCTTTTACTTTCTGTCCTTCACAGTTTGAAAGGTCCCACTATTGTCTGTCCAACTCCAGCAGCCATGATTCCAATGTGGAGATGTGAAATTGCCCCTAATTTTCCCCTGACGCCCCATCAACTTCATTTCAGCCTCTTCTTCACTGGGTCGCCACATTTAACCAGGCACATAATCACCCAGCCTGAGCATTTATATATATATATATATATATATATATATATATATATATATAAAGCAGGAGGTGTCCATGAGACTCAAGATTTGTCTAAAAATGTGGCTCTGTTCTCCAGAGAATCAGAGCTGCTGCTCCAACAATGCTGCGCTGCTGTGACAGAGGTAAGAAAACACTGGAGACTGAGGGAAGACTTTCAGAATATTTTTGCTCTGCAGGACAAAAAAACTACCAAAAAAAACCATTGTACCAAAATGCTTATTACCCATTTCTTTGGTTGCTATATAAATTGCAGGTTTTGTTCGATTGGAAAATTGTCTTTGCAATTTTTGAAAAACAACTTTCCATTTTCTGTAATTCCATTTTTTGTTTTGAACATTTTCAGCTTCCTCTGCTTCTTTGTAGCATTGAGGTTGTTTGAAAATTTTGCTTTTTTATGCTCATTTTCTCTCTCACTTTGCCTTTCTTTCTGGTTTCTGTTTTGCCCTGTTGTCTTTTTTGCTTTCTTCAATGGTATTGCTGTTTTCTGTACTTTTTGGACATGTAGAGTTTCAGCACCTCTGACACAGAAGATTTCTGTTTTGCCTTTCTGCCCCTTAGACAGTTGGCTTTTCTGCTGTAGAGGTCAATCCTGTTCTCTGAGTGTTTATTTTATTTCTCTCCTTTTGCCTTGTAAAATCGAAACTCTATGTCCCGCTCATCATTATGCCAACTTGACCAATTTGGGGTCTTTTTTCCACTTTCCATTTTTATCTTTTATTCTTATCATTCTCCCCTTTCTGCCCCTCTGCCCTTTCACAGCTCAACTCTTTTCCTCCATGTCCTCAACTGTGTTTTCTGTTGGACATTCCCTTTTTATAGCTGTTGTTTTTGTCTTCCCGTAGTCCTTAACTATCACATCAGACCAAATGTACTCTAATATTTAGCAGGCAGTTGTGGTGAAGCAGGAGCATGAATAATAAGTCAGTGCACGCATGACTCGACACTCTGGCCTTCATTCACCACAGCGACATCTCAAACCTCGGGGAAGCCTGTTGACCAGATACAAATGAGTCATTTTCAACTGTTTTAACAGAGTACAGTACGAGACACAACGTGCTAATCCGTCCGACCGACGATAAATCAGACAGGGTTTATGGCCATTTGTCATTCGACTGTCAGTGTTGGACATCGATGAAATGCTGCTGCCGTTTCTGAAGTGTAAATGAAGTGTAAAAAAACAGAGAATGTGGTTCATTCACTTAAATGACTTATTATATGCTGTTCAACTCTCCAACACACAGTTCTGCTGATTTATTTACAGTGGTGACGTTGATGAAATAAAACTGTTTTTTTCCCCCCAGTATAAATTCAACCTACTTTGTGTCACTGCTGAAGAAAAAGACATTTTTTAAAAATAACTTATTGCTATGTTAGAAATTAAATCATTAAAGTGGATGATTATTTTTTAGTATTGTTTAATATTATTATTTATTGTTTGCTTAGGGTAAGTTTTTCTTTTCAATTGCAATTGGTCATTAAAAAGTGAAAAGAAAATTAGTTTCAATAAGAAGGCAAAGAAAAAAGAGCAAATCAAAAATATATTATTATTACACAGTTTATAATAAAGACGAAAAATATGATTTTAGTTTTTTAATTTTTTAATGTATTTAATTAATGTAAATGCTTTTTTTTAATAAATTAGATTTTTATTTAAAATACAAACAGAATGATAAATGGTCGGATTTATGCAGGCCGATTGCTCTACCTTGACTTTTCATTAAAAACTACAGATATTTGATATTAACATTTTTTTAACTTTTTTAACTAACAATAAAATCACAAAACATATTTTAAATGATTAAAAATGAGTCATGGAGGTGACGTGTATAAGAAGAGTTAAATTAAAATGAATACATAAAGTGTATTATTGTTGTTTATGAATTAAAATCAAATCAAATCAAAACGATTTAGCAACACGGGGTGAGGAGAATCAGAAACTGCATTTTTGCAGTAGTTCAAATAAATTAATAATAATGCGTACCGGGTACCGTTTTAGCTCAGCCGAGGTCCGTGCGTCAAATCCTTTAATCGAGACACTTGCAACATTATACGGCCTTAATTTTGTCAAAATCTGATTTGAATCTTTTGGTGCCTATTCTATAAACTCAACGACCTGGATAAAGACCACGAGTGGATCCCAGTGTTGGTGTGTCAGTACCTGACAGTACAGTCAGAAGACCATCACACAGACCGAGGTGTTGTTGTCAACGTCAGTCCAAACCGCTCAGACCTGTTTTTATTTTCACTTTCAAACCCCCCGTATTTTACCACAGTTTTCCCGCGCACGTTACATCCGGTTGTCACTGATCCAAAAACCTGTGTTGATCCAGTCGGTTCCACAGTCTACCGGGGTAAACACCAGCCTGGCCGCCTGCTCCTTCTTACAATATTTGACTATAAAAACATTGCACGCACGGAGGCGCTGTCCAAACAAACCAGATCTCAATGAATATAGGGACGTCACGCCGACGGCTTTTTATTTGCATAACGCGCCAAACTGAAAGTCAATATTGAAAACAAAACAAAAAAAAAAACAAGACAAAACAAAGGCGCGAACCGATTCATGCTGCGTGCAATGAAAAGAAAACAAAGGAAGATCAATGCAAACGTTTCTTAACCGCACACTAAATCCACTGTTCTGGGTCATGGAGGTCCGCTTTGGTCTGCGTGTTGGCAGGATGCACCCGAACTGGAACAAATCACCGCAAAACTCAAGTTGTTCTGACACGTGTTTGTTCTGACAAAGGGGGCGCTGTCAGAAAGCAGCAGCAGGAGTTTTTACCGTCCACTCACATCATCTGAGGTCTCGGCATCAACCCGTCCTGGTGGTGGGGATGGTGGTTTGGGTACCAGTGACCAAAACAAAACATGTAACTGTTGGAGGAGGAGGAGGAGGAGATGGAGGAGGTGGAGGAGAACGAGGCTCCCTTGGAGACCTCCCACAGCTGCGGGTGAAGTCCTGGGGAGCAGGGGGAGATGGAGGAGCTGGAGCTGCTGTGGAGATGTTCTCCATCCACAGAGCTGCTGCCGTGCTTGATGATCTTCTTGTACTTGGAGCGTTTGTTCTGGAACCATATCTTCACCTGAAGGAGAGAGAACAAAACTGTGACGGTGGAACTTCACAGTGCGGTGACTCTGAGAGGTTTGAGAAGAAAGAAGTGTCAAAGATGTGGCTGAGGTTCCTTCAGGGAACCATCTGCAGCTGCTTACATCCATAAACACATTATCATCTGAAACATGTTCTGCTCTGGTAGATTCTACACCTGTGTGTCAGGTCCAGCACCTCCTGGTTCGATCCTTCTCTGGTAGATTCTACACCTGTGTGTCAGATCCAGCACCTCCTGGTTCGATCCTTCTGAGTTTGATCCTTTACGTCACGTGGACTGTTAAGAAAACCATTACCGGAGCCTTCCTAAAATATAACGCCATGAAACTGTTTTACTGTTTAATTTTAAATTTGTCGTAAAAACGTGGATTTGCCCGCATTTGCGCTCGGTCTCCTGAGCCCAACCTGAAAATGTTTTAGAGCTAAAAAAAATCGATCATAGTCACGGAGCAGATCATGTGCAGAAAATTGTGAATCATTAATGTGGGTGGTGTTAAATTTCACATTTCAGCAGGGTTACAACTCTTATTTAACAATGATTCCTCTACTACGATAAAACAAATGACAGACCAGTCATTTAATAATTCACTGGGGCCTCACTTTGTAGCCTTAGTAAAAAATGATTTAAAGAAACAAAAATATCAGTAATAAAACGCAATACATTGATAACTTCAAGTGTGCCCTCAGAGTGGATCTACTTTACTGTGAACACCACCGTGTCCTGTGTTGCTTTAGTCAAATCCTTCCACGCAGCCTCACGGATGAACGCTGCTTCTAATCCCTTTGTAAACTCAGCTCTTTGTTTACTGGTTTTTATGAGGCACAACAGACGTGATGTGTGACAGCGGCCGCAGCAGCAGCGGCAGCAGCAGTTTGGGGAATTCTTTTTTTAGCACCAAACATTTGATTTAAGGGGTCTCAAATAAAAACAAAAACAAAAAATGTTTAAATTGCCAAAAATCAGGGATGGATCATTTTATTAGTAGGCTGGGAATAATTATTTTGACGCTAAATTGAAGGTAAATGGTTTTCATTTTACACACAGACAAATATAATGTATAGTTGTTCCCTCTATAATGTAAAGAGTGATACATTACTATAAAATATCTTTATTTAGGTGGTTTAACCCTGGAACAAAAAGGAAACAAAAAATAGGTCAAATGAAAATGCTTGAAAATTTAAAAAAGAAAGAAAGTCTTTCTTACTTTTTTAAATTTTCAAGCATTTTCATTTGACCTATTTTTTGTTTCCTTTCTGTTCCAGGGTTAGTTATTGGATTAATTTTTTGTTACCTTACTTTTATTGTATTGATTATATATATATATATATTCTGGTTACTAATTTATGACTTATTTGAATGTCATTTTGGCGACATTTTAGCTGCTACTGGGCTAACCTTTACTTTATGTTTTAGATTTTTTGAAAGCAGTACTGGAGAAGTACCTCTAATGTATCGATCTTATTCGTTAGCCTGCAGCGTGTGTGACTGTCTCACATGAAACAAATACTGTCAAATTAGCCTTCCTTAAGAAGTAAAAATGATGAGGGCTGTGTGTGTGTGTGTGTGTGTGTGTGTGTGTGTGCGCTATGGAAGCCCAGTGGGACATTGTTTCTCTTCTAGTTTTTACAAAAGCTAACAATACATTTTATGGAGGCACTCAAGGCACACATTGTTGAAACTAAAGGGAAATTAAAGATTTTTTGAAGGCCACTGTAGTCATTTCTGCCCCAGTTAAAGACTTACTACTGTGACAACTGAAATTTGTATTTAGTGTGAAGTAAAGGATCAGGAAGTGTCTCCAAGGATCCCGTGTAACACCAAACAATCTCTGGAAGTGAGTCGTAATCCAATCCTTTAATGCATGCTTTGTTTACTGTTCCTAATATTGTGGCCGTACCTGCCTCGTCACAGGCTGGGCCTGATGTCTGAAGAGTCCTGGAGGATTCGACCTGACCACAGTTCAAATGCATTTTTAGTTTTCTTTGTTGTCACTCAGCTCTGCTAATGACTTGTTTTACTTCTTCAACAACGTGTTTAGGTTTAGGCTGAGGCTGAAATGTGTTTCTCCAGGTGAAAAACAAACAGCCCATCATTTGTTAAACACTGATGAGTTTGTTGTAAAACAGACCAGACAACAACAACATAAACCTGGAATGAAATATAAAGTGCATTAGACATGTAATTAAACAGTCAGTTCTAAAGACTGGGTCATGGGTCACAATTCTGGGTCCACAGGTAGGAAGGAAGGAAGGAAGGAAATGATTTCAATATGAATATGAATATGTCATGTGGATGTTGCTGGTCTGTGGTACTGTGCTAGTGATTTAATGGAGTGGTGTGTGTTAGCTGGAAGCAAAAATAATAAACAATAATAACACTCATTCAAAAGTGGATTTGATGTAAAACACTGGAGTTTAAGATCTATACATATATATTCAGCAATCCTTTAAATAAATCAAATGTTATGAAAACACAAAGTAATCTATAAAAGTACAGGATCACTGTCCTACTGCACTCATCTAAGAGATATTGTGAGTTCAATGTCATTCATTTTAGAACTGTGAACTGTATTTACACTGATCACTGATCCATGCTTTACATTTTTAATTCTTTTAATTTCCATGCTTTTGTGCAGATGAACTGAACTTCCCGCATATATATTTTTTATCATTTTAATTCTTGGTAAAGTTGGAACCCTTCTAAAAGTAACTGCATTGGAGACACGCAAATATCATATAATTCAAAAATACCTATAAAAGCTGAAGGTCTGGTAGATGATGCAATAGTATAAATGAAATGTCTGGCTGCACAGAGAGAGGGTTTTATCTTTTCTACTGTAGTTTTATATCAGATCATTTCATATTAGTTCGGGGGGGGGGCAGGATCACTGGTACTGCGGAACTGAGTTCACTGGTTTGTTATCAATAACTGCGATCACGTGACCCACAGACACGCACTTTGTGTAATGAGTGATTATTAATGATTATAACAATTATGTAATAACTCAATAGTCAGGAAGAAATAGTAGTGGTTATTAGTGACGCAGTGATTCGTTGGTTTTAGCCCATGTTTCTACCGCAACTTTAAAATATATTTGTGCAAAAAAAATAAAATTAGATTAAAATATATTTTAAAATAAATATTATAAATACTTTTTACGTTTTTTTCTGAAATTCCTGCATTTTAAGTTTCCAATTAGTTATTAGTTTTAATATTACTCAACATTACTACATTAGTACTTTATTAATTATGAACTTTTCACAAGGCTGTAATACTACTTCATTCTCCGTTCAGAACTTGAAGGCCCACCTGAGTCTGGGTGAGGCCCAGTTTGGCCGCCAGGTCGGCCCGCTCCGGCAGGGCCAGGTACTGGGTCTGCTGGAACCTCTGGTGCAGAGCCTGCAGCTGCAGACTGGAGTAGATGGTCCGGGGTTTGCGGATTTTTTTGCCTTTACCGTTGAGTCGAATCTCCCTGTTATTGATCACCGTCGACTTGTCTCGATCTTTGGCGATGAGGTAGAAAACAAAGCAGAGCAGAGGAGTCAGAGACAAACGTTTGGATTCAGGGCTGCATATTATTATTATTATTATTATTATTATTATTTAAAATCGTCAATACAATATCAGTCAATAACGTTTGAGAAGTCGGTCCTAATCCCGGGTGAGGCCTGAGCCAACGAACTGTACAGGGTCAACTAAAAGCACTTGTCCCGGAATGAGTGATTTTTTTTTTTTTTTCCAAAATCTTTTTAAAGCTGTAAAACGGATAAATCAAGGGTTAAAACAGCCTTAAGTCAAACTGTGGGTCAAAGATTCGCTCCTGTGGCACAACGTCTGGTTTACACACTACAATTGGACAAGGCCGCAGAAAATTATGGTCAGTGAAATTAATGGACACGTCTGACTTTATTACTGCACGTGGTGGGAAAGAAACCCGCGACATCAGACTTGATTTAAGACCAAATCAAGGAAAAAACATTAGAATTGAATTCATACCAGAACATAGACACATTAAAAATTACATAAATATTCAAATTAGGTATCTATTAAAAATATTAAAAAAAACACCTAATACGAGCTATAAACGTGAAGGACTTCGCGCCGGACAGTAAACACGCTCCACTTTTTAATCCGGATAATCTGAACGGTTCCACATACCTGTCTGCTCCAATCTGCCTGGGCCCAAAGTGCCGCTGCTGTGACTGCCGTGGTGCGGGTAAGGCACGTAGGCAGCGGCGGGGTGAGAGCTGACGGAGCCGGGGTAGGTGGTGTAACCCAACGCACGGCCGTAGGACGCGCTGCTCGGGAAGGGCGTGTCGTGCTGCGGAGGAGCCGCGGTGTGTACGCCATGGACGGGGTAAATGTGATGAGAGAGTCCGGGAGAGTTCTGGTTCTGCTGGTGGCGATGATGATGATGATGATGTTGCTGGTGATGGGACGGATGCCCGAACTCCAGAAAGGCGGATTTGGACGGATCTGACGCATTCAGAGAGTCCGGCATCAAACCCACAGACATCATTAATGAGTGAACACGAGAGGACATAAAGACGTGGGTGTCATGGGTTCTGCCTGGGTCGCAAGATCCGGATCAGATCCACGCGTTAGGTCCGACGCACAGTTCGCGGGACGCATTCTCCGCAGTGGCGAAGGTGGAGGAGACGGTGGTGGTGCTGCTGGAGCGGAGTTACGCACGGCATGTTCAACAGCTGAACATGGAGCTGAAACCGGGATAAAAGCTAAAGAGAGATCCTCCTTTACATCACACACACACACACACACGCACACAGAGCGCTTTGATTGGTGTTCAGCTGTCACTGGAGCTCCTCCATTAACTTCATGAACATATGATCCAGGATGAAGCTCAGAGCAGCGCCCTGTTCGCTAAAAACATCATATTTTTCGAATTTTCGTAAAATGTGGAAATTAATATTTATTTTCGTTTTTAGCAGCGCAAAAATATAAATGTTAGAAATTAAGTGTACTTGTCTTTTTTATCCATTATGTTGTAAAAAAAAAAAACGAGATATTTTTGGTTTTATAAAATAGTACTGAAACTTCTGTGTATCTTAAATACACAAATATTGAATTTCACAAATTAATCCGGCAGCTGGCGTGTCCAAAGTCTGGCTCGGGGAGCAGTTATAGTACATTTTCCCTCAAAGGTTATACTATTACTTCTATCAATAATGATAATAGTAATAATAACTACTTGTATTAATTATTTACCTTTTTATTTTACGCAAAATTACTTTCAGTTAAATGTTGTCTTTCAGCTACAGTGTATTGAATCTGTTTTATATTCTAGATTTATTATATTATTGCTAACCTTAAGCATATTTTCAGAAAACGTCTTCTTACTTGTTAATGTTTCAAAAATAAACAAAAGCCTTCAAGTGTCATTACTTACAGTTAAATAAGAAAAAAATAACAGGAAATGTTTGCTAACTCTTTGTTCTGAGTGTCAAAAATAAAACAGCTGGGACTCAGGTGTTGTTCCAATAAATAATGGAACACACAAAATGTTGGAGCCCGGCTCCTCAGAGCTTCCAGCTCAGATTGTTCTGACAAAATACCAAAACTCAAACCAGCATGAATCACGTTGATTCTAAGGCCACACAGCAGTAAAAACTGTCACTTATACTGTGTGTCTGTTTTTATGACAACAAATGCATGCTGATGTTTAATATCATCAAAAAAATCTTGCCAAAAATAACCAAAATATATTTTCTAAGTAATGAAACTCAGACACCAGTGCAATCAAATCACTGTATAATATTCAAATTTCTCAGCTGTTATAAAAAACCCCTCGTGTTATTATCTAAATCGTTTGATTACACTACACATGACTCAACATGGATAACTTCCACAATCTGGTAACCAACAGAAGACGAGGAGTCTTCATCCACCCAGGATGTTTTTAGTTTAGATTTATAAAAAGAAACAAAAAAATAAAAAAAATAAAAACAGAATAAAACTCCATACATCAAGTCAGTTACGTTGCTTTCAGACTAATGTCAAATTTAGAGGAAGACAAAGTTGCCAAGAGAGGGTGGAGGCTGAGTGTGGAGGCCGTGCTATACTTTAGGACTCTGTTTCTCCTCTCCATGTTCAGGGACGTGTTTTCTCACCATCATAACTAAGTCAGCAGAGGACACAAGTATTATTCCAAAATACTTGTAATCTTAACTAATAAAATATCCCATATGCATTTGAAAATAACCAAATCATTTCTAACACAATGGTTCTAAAAATGCAATAAAACTCAAATCAATATTATTTTTCTTGTTGGTTGTGTTAGTAGAAATTAAATTGTTTTTTTTTTATTACACTTATTTTACAAAACAACAACATCATATTGTTGCAGTTTTGCAAGTTGAACTGTAGCCAATTCTAGCGGTGTGTAAAAGACAGATCTTGGTAAAAAACAAAAACAAACCAAAAATACCAAAATTAGTGATCGGCCTACACAGAAATATATCACTGCACAAAGGTCAGAAGGTCATGCACATCCACCACGTGCATTGTACCAGTGACCATTTTTGTGATAGGACAAGAGCGCCGACTTTTCTAAATGTCTTACTCTAAATAAAACATATTTGTTTAAAAGACTTCTGTTCTCTAAAGAAAGTGTCTCCAGTTGTGGACCAAGATGCTGAGTCCTTATACTGCAGTGAACTTCAATACAGACTCACGTTTCATCTCTGTTGACACTGCTGTTAAACAAAACAGAATGTTTGGTGGGTTCCAGCTTGGTGCTGAGCTGCTGTGGCAACCCTGTCATTTTGGTCATGTCCAGGAGAACAAAGCTGTATATTATATATATATATATATAGTTATAGTTATACACAGTAAATCAAATCCAACAGCAGAACAGGACCTGCACACTCCCTCTGCTGCTGCTGTAGGCTGGACCACTGCCTGATTCCCCATAGGCCTCCACCAGGCAGTGAGCCAGAGCTCAGCCACAAGTTATTATCATAGGGAGTTTTTTTTACTCACGATATTATTAAATGAAATGAGGGACGACTTTCGCTCAGAGGCCACTTTCTGATTGTGGGCAACAAGTTTCACACAATCACAGTCTCTCTCTCTCTCTCTCTCACTCACACACACACAAAGCCTAGAGCTGTCAATTCTACTACATTGTGGTTTTTATCTATTAGTAATTCACTGTTAGAACTGCAGCCCAGTTTGTGGATGGTTACAAATTGTGTGATTTGGCCACAAAAAAAGAAAAAAAGTGTTCTAACACACCGAGCCTTGTCCATTATAAACATCTTTTGAGGCCTTTTAAGATGGACTTCAAACCATCAACCTCTAGCTATTAGCTTCTTCTTTGCTCTCTTTCTCTTTTAATTAACTTTTGGCGTAGATGTTTTGCCCCAAATTCTAGCTGCTTGGGCAAATTCTTGGCAATATCCCAAAAAACATTTTTTGTTTGTTTTTTGGCAGTTGTTCTAAGAGAAGGTATTGGGAAACAATAAAATCATTGTTCTTCTTAAGTTTCTAAATCCAGAATTATATCATTTTCCCGATCTTTAAAAAACAACTTTGAAATGAACCAGTAAGAAATCCAATCCCCTTCCAAGTCCTGCAGCTTAGATGGCTGCAGTTCAGAGCAAAGTTGCACTTTTGTCGTGATGCGATGGAGATAAAGACAACATTATGGAGCCTTTGAAGACTGAGAGGCCCATGGGCGAACGTGAACAGACACTTGAGCAGCTGAATGCAGAGGATTGACTCCTGCACAGTCAGATCTGTCTCAGCGAAGGTGTGGACGCAGGAGAGTGAAAGCGAGGTAAGGAGGTTCTTTCAAGGCTTGTAATTATGAGTGTATTAACGCAGGAGAACAAAGCTGAGCCCTGCAGTCATGGACGGGAATGGTCCTGGTCGTTGGACTGTCAATGCACGCAAACACACCGTGAGGGTAACACAAAAAAAGTCTCAACTAAAGTACTCATACAGGGAGCAGACTTGCAGCAGGCTACGAACAGTTTCAGTAACACAAATGTTATTGTGACAACAGTGAGAATGTTATGAGTTATCTTTTATCTCATGAAATTAGAATTTTATAAGATAAATCGAATTGTGTTCAAGTAGAAGAAAAATGACATGGCTAACTAGCTAATGTTAGTTTTGTTAACTGAAAATAGTTACTTTGCTACAATGCTGACATTTATGACTGTTTTTTGATCCACTTGCATTTGTAATTTTATTGATAATTAGCTTTTGAAACCTGTTTTAAATGTTGCTTTTCTGTGGAAACATCTTTCAGAGAATTCTTCCTTCTTTGGATGGTGCTAAAGCCTCAGCTAAGTCAAGGCAAGTCAAGAACAACCTCCTGGCAGAACATGAGCTGTTCTGTAGTACACGGACTTTTAGCTAATTAACCTTTTAGTCCAAAAGAGTTTTACCTGTGGGTGAACTGCAGACTCAGAGTGTGTGTGAAATGTGTGTGTGTTTGTAGAGGTGTGTTCTGTATAGGTGTGTTGTGATGGCCTCTTTATTCTTCCTCACTTTCAAACACCATCACACACACACACACACACACACACACACACCAGTCAGGTTTGTCCATCACACAGCTCTGATGCAGTGTGACAACATTCTTTGTGACAACAACTCACGGCACATTCTGAGGCGACGGCTTGCGTGGCTGTGATCTTCTCCACGCTCTCACGTCATGCCAGAGGAGGAACCTTCTGCTGCTGGGACAGTCACCAGGACACGATCCAGACTGACAGTCCGCCACCCTGATAAGACGCCAGGAGTCATTGGGTTAGCTTCAACTCACCACATAATAGACTCAAATGTCCATAACAGACACTAACATGTCCTATAACACAATACTGATGAGTGTGACGTGGAGGTGTGGTTGTTGGCACAGTAACGCTGAAAGAAATTCATCACTGCTGAGAACCAGAAAAATATGCCAGACTTAAAGGGAAAGAACAAAATCAAATGTTCTTTTGTGGAGAGATGAAAAGCAGACATTTCCATTTCCACAGATGTATGTTTGATGTGTGTGCTTTTTACACTTTGTGACGTTAATGTTTTAGCCACATGAATATTCTGTTTTATTTTATTCTGTTTTATTCTGCTTTGTAAAAGAACGCTGGTGAACCGTGTGTTATCATGTTGGGAGAACGGCACATGTTATAGATTTTTTTTTTTTTTGCGTTCAGAAACACAGTTTTCAAACACGTCAGGTAGAAAACTACTGAGTTGAGATGTGTCCTGACAGCCCAGTATATTTGCCAGGACACCAGTAAATGAATGGTTCCAGTCTGAATTAGTACTACCTAAAAAACACTACATACTGTGTTTTGCTCTTCTCCTGCATCAACAAAACCAATGCTTTGACTGTTTTCTGCCTCAGGAAAAAATAGTGAATGTCAGAGGAGGAGGAGGAGGAGGAACCGCAGAAGCTCCGTGATGAAGGAACTAATCTCTGCTTCAGGGGCCATCACGCAGCAACTCTAATATCTGCAAGCCTGGCGTCACTCATACCTCAGTTGCAGCCAGGTTGCTTCTCCTGGAGTGTTTGTGTGCGTGTGTATTTGTGAGTTGGTGTAAATGTCACAGCAAGACTAGACAGATATTCATAGCCATAATAAAACATTTGACAAAGTCCATCCATGTCAGGGACACAGTAGTGAGACAGTGTTGAGTAAAATCCTCATGTTGTGACTGTAGCTGCACCAACACTAACGTGTGCCTGCCGCACATCTGGAACAGAGAAGCCAGTCTGGGTCTATACCCTCAGTGTTTACAGCTCTGTTGTTTTTTCACACTCCTCGCACAAGAAAAAAAAGTTGCCCAAACACACATTCCAGACTCAGCAGCTCAACATGGGGGGAACAATATAGTATATTTTTCCACTGTAAATCTTGCCCACGAGTGCCCAAAGGGATGGTGGGTAGAAAAACAAAGGCTAGAA